GAAAAACAAGAATTTAACTGAAGAGAAATTGGGGAATGAATAATGAGTACTCATATAGTTCTAAACAGTCTGAAAACTGTAGTCAAGCTAAAAATGAAATATTTAATGACCTGAAGTAAGAGTATTTCCAAGAAGCAATAATTAGATAAGACTTTTTAATCTCCAATTTTTTTTTTGTTTGTTTCTTTTAATGATAGGAAAAAAAACAGTGGCAAAACAAAAGCTGACCAATGATAAAACCTGTAGTCAGGGAGGAGTTGAAGTAACATTGTGACATCAAGTGTAAATAGTTATGAAAACTCACTGAGAAGGAAAGTAGCTAAATTATTTATTAAATTTATATAGTAAGTTTAGTAAATTACAGTAAATTCATAGTATCATAAAAAATTTTAATTTATTTTCCATAGCTAAAGACCAGTAACCATACTCATACCCTATAACAACTCTCTAGTTGCTAGCTAAATATTAAGTTTGAAGTTCTAGAATAGAATACAGAATATAGACTATAATATAATCTATACTTAATAGAATCTTTATTCTATTATCTTTCAACCAAAGACTTATTTAGATCTGTTTTCAGTAAATATTCTTATACTTCCCCCAAATGTAAATGCTGGAAACGGGATGAAAATAACTCAAAAAATTAATTCACTGAATAACAACATATCTTAAAGATAAATGGCTATACCAAAAACTTGAGGCAAGACCAAGAACCTTCTTCTAGAGATAAAGATACAGAGAGTACATAAAATTTTGCAGAACAAAGGCTAGCATTCACAGAGGCACAGATTTCAGAAAATGACCAATACTGTTGGTTCTGTGTAATGAATGCTCTTACTGGTGATAAAGTATGTCATATGTCATTTTAAATGTGTAAGTATTTCCGACAGAGAGTGCTGAATACTTGGCTTAGATACAAATCCAACACAAAAAACAAAGTAACCTTGGGAAAAATTGTTAATTAGTACTCTGAATCTATCAGATATACAAATTGTTTCTAATAAACTGACTGAAAAGTAGAAACGTAAAATTCTAATTCTTAAAATATTAGAAGAGTAACAGCTGTGGTGGGTATATGGCATTGTTTATGTGGGATATACTGTCAATTAACAGCCCCAGATTGGCATTTGAATAGTGTATATTATAAATATTTTGAATAACATTGTAATTCAAATGCACGATTTAGTGGGGGGTAATATATAGTATGAATATAATGAAAATGTAAAGGATGGCAGCACAGGTAAGAACCTGAGTAGCAAGGGGACTGGATAATTAATCACTGAGTCTGAGATATGAGAGCGAGGACAGATTTATTTAGTGTGCAGGCCCTGTGACAGGGGTATGGAGGGGAGTGAGACATAATCCCTGTTCTCAAGAATCGCAGAGGCCTTAAGTCAATCAATCATTTACCATAAAAATTGCCTCTTGCTGGAAGTAAGCATTGAAATGCTAGCAAAGACCATGTTTCTTGGGCNTTCCTCTAGGCTTCCACAATAACTGTGTCTTCTGTCATACTGACAACATATGATGTCTATTAATATTACTGTAAAGACCTCCTTAATTATGTTTCTGCCCCTGTCCGACTCTAGACAAAATGACCTTGTGTCTGATCACGTGACAACTCTAGTCAAAATCCCACAACATTGGCCTTTCTCATTTTACATGGAGTAGAAGTTCACAGTACGGTCTATAATGTCCTGCATGATCTCCATACCACTCATTCACCACCCCCTACCATTAACCATCCAACTCCATCTACCATTCTTCCCTTTGTTCACACTGCCCCAGCCATACTGGCCTCCTTGCTGTTCATTAAATTTAATAAGCATGATCCTGCCTCAGCGCCTTTGCCCGTTGTTTCCTCTTAACAGGCTTCTCTCCATATTCACTTCCTTCGGGTCTCTGTTCAAATGTCACCTGACTGCCCTGTACGAAACAGCACTACCTGTCTCTTCCCTCAGTACTCCTTATTCATTTTATTCAGGTTTATTTTTTCTCCATGGCAATTATCACTATCTAACATCTGATATATTGATGAGTTACATTGCTTTTATATCTCTTTTTTAGTAAAATGTAAGCTCCATGGAGGCAAAGACTTTTTTACTCAGTGTTATATCCTGATTGCCTGGAGCAGAGTTCAATAAATACTTGTCAAAGCAATGAATAATCTGTTTAAGTTCACACCCAAAAGATTTTGAATCCTGAGCTACTGTATAGTTATTAACCTTTGGAACATAGTAAGTACTGACCAAAATTCTTTTTTTCAATTATAGTTGACATATAATATTAGTTTCAGGTATATAACATAGTGATTAGACATTTATATAACTTGTGAAGTGATCACCCTGATAAGTCTAGGATCCTTCTGATGACATACATAGTTATTACAATATTAATGACTTTATTCCCGATGCTGTACTTTGTATCACACGACTATTTTTTATAACTGCCAATTTGTACTTCTTAATCCCTTCATTTTTTACCTCCACTCCCAATTGGGTGACCATCAATTTGTTCTCTGTATCTATGAGTTGAACAAATCTCTTTGAATTGGGAAGATAAAGATAGTCAAATCTTGCACTGAAAATACATAAAAATGGGAAAGATAAGAATACATATCCACAGAATTATATCTTGGTACATACCTGTTTGAATTCTGAATCTTTTCCCACCATAGCTTGAAGACTGTAAATAACTGGATCACCTTTCATTGGCTGCAAACACTCCCATGAAATTTCACAAATGTGATCATTTATTTTCTCTATTTTGGGGGCTATAGAGAACAAAAAAAGAAATAAAATTTGCTCTACTTGATTTTTAACTTGGAACATCACACAGACACTTGTTTTAATCAAAATCAACAAATCTTTAAATCCCAGTTCTAAACTTGAAATAAGTATCAGTGAAATTTTGAAATTTGCAGAGAAATGGTCAATAGTTCACTCTTATCTCTACGCCATACAATGTACAGATGCTACAATGGCTTGATTGACTAAAAGATTTGTCAAGGTAAGCCCTATTTTCATTGAGCTAAAGAGCCAATAGAAGGGTAGATGGCAGTTCAAAAATAATTACTATGATACTTTTCAGAGTATAACTAGAACATACAATTTTATAATTTAATAAATCTCCTAAGACAATGAGTTGAAAAAAACTCCTAGTTGCTTGACCACATAGGACTTTTTCACTCAATAGTGGGGTGCAACGGGGTTAAAATCAGCAATCTTCTAAGGTCAAGAGACACTAAACCAGATAAGGGAACAGAAAAATGACTCAGTGGAACTCCATTAACATTACTGGAAACATTATTCAATAATAGCCCTGTTAACTCTGAATCTGCTTAACAAATGATTGCTCAATTACATGGTCCAGGACACTATTAGAAGTCTTTGTGATTTGTCCTCAGGGTGTGAGGAATTTTAGTTGTTTTGGCTAAATGCACAAAGTACAGTTTTTCTGGGGTCATTTTAAAATAAGAACCCCTCTGAAATTAATTTTAAAAATATTTGTTTATACAAATGTGTGTGTGTAAATTTGATTTAAACATTCAAGTTAACGAAGAATTTATGTTTTGCTTAACAGAAAACTTGGCTCTTTCACTGAATTTCAAATGAATGAAAGAACAATGACTCAAAACAACCAGTTTGTTTATTAAAAACAGCAAATGACCCTATTAGAAAACCAGCCTATCTATTCACTTAAGTATTTTAATGTTAGACTATTTAAAAAGATCAGTGACAAAAACAGTACTTTTCTGAGTATCAATGTGCCAAATAAAATAGCTTTTATTACTGAGTGAACTACCAGTAAGTGGGTTTGTATATAAAATTTATTATAATTTAAATGTTGGACATATACTGGATGATAAATTTTAATAACAGTACATAAAGCACTTTATGCAAATGTATTTAAAATTAACTTGTTAATAAAGAAAATAACTTGAGGATGGATAACATACCTTTCAAGGCAGCTGGGACAGACTTTGGAGTAGTGAAAATATATTCTTGGGAGAGAGGACCTTCCCCTGCTTCATTACAAGCTTGAATACAGAATTTATAGGATGTTGACTCATTAAGTCTTTGTACTTTGTATGTATGACATGGACCTCTGTACAAGGATACAAACCTAAAATGGAAATGATTCATTTAAAATAATCCTTGACTTCCGTATGTTTAAAAACTACTAAAAAAGTACTGTTGGGACATTATTTAGGAATAAGAAGGTAGTCCTATGATTTAATCCAAATAAATATGTGTTTTTTTTCATCAGATGATGGAAATCATAGAATTGGTAAATTTCCCAACTTGACATGGTTTTCTGAAAATTTATTGCTAAATTTTATCTTCAACCATG